GGCCCTAATATCTGAATGTGAGTTAGGGACCTTAAATTGTACGCCCCTTGAGGGTTAGGGACAGATGTGAATGTACAATATATATGTAATAATACAATATATATATACTGCTTGGAGTTTGCATGTTCTCCCTGTGCCTGCGTGGGTTTCCTCCGGGTACTCCGGTTTCCTTCCGCACTCCAAAGACATGCTGGTAGGAGAATTGGCTCCGGTCTAAATTGTCCCTAGTATGTGTATGTATGAATGTGAGTTAGGGACCTTAGATTGTACACCCCTTGAGGGTTAGGGACTGATGTGAAGGTATAATATATATGTAAAGCGCTGTGTAAATGGACGGTGCTATATAAGTACCTGAAATAAATAAATATATTTATTGAAATATTAAATATGGCCAAAATTGTAGTATTTCAAATATATGGCAATATATTTGGGAAGAATATTTTTAAAACATATTACAAATATATATTTTCTTCCATGTGGGTAGCAAATAGGCCAGCGGTTCTCAACCTGGGGGTCGAACGACCATTTCCCAGGGGTCGCCTAAGACCATCGGAAAACACATATTTCCGATGGTCTTAGGAACCGAGACACCGCTGCAGTCTCCGGCGATGTGTGTGGGCGGGATGATACGCTGCTGTCACCTGGCCACACCTCCGGGATCGCTCAGCAGCTCCGCCTCCACGCCGCTGATTGGCCACCGGAACTGTAGCTCAGGAGAGGCACACAGGCGGCCAATCACCGGCGAGGAGGTGGAGCTTGGAGAGGAGGAGCCGAGCGGCAGCGCGCGTACATCAAAGAAGACCGAGGGAGCTGCCGGAGCGAGTGAAGAGAGAGCGGCCAGAGAAGGAAGACAGCTGACAGGTAAGTGAGAGAGCGAGCCCAGGCTGGAGCAGGGGTCAGCAAAGTAAGTATCATTGGTGTCAGTGGGAGGAATAGTGCCCCATCATTTGTGTCACTAATACCAACGATGGGGCACTATTCCTCCCCCACTGACACCAACGATGGGGCACTATTCCTCCCCCCACTGACACCAACGATGGGGCACTATTCCTCCCCCCCTGACACCAACGATGGGGCACTATTCCTCCCCCCACTGACACCAACGATGGGGCACTATTTCCCCCCCCCCCCCTGACCCCAATGATGGGGCACTATTCTCCCCTCCACCACACTGACATCAATGATGGGCACTATTCCTCCCTCCCACTGACACCAATGATGGGGCACTATTCCTCCCACTGACACCAATGATGTGGGCACTATTCCTCCCACTGACACCAATGATGGGGCACTATTCCTCCCACTGACACCAGTGATGGGGCACTACTCCCACCCACTGACACCAGTGATGGGGCACTACTTCTCCCCCACTGACACCCAGTGATGGGGCACTACTCCCCCCCACTGACACCCAAATGATGGGGCACTACTCCCCCCCTCCACTGACACCAATGATGGGGCACTACTACTTCCTCCCCCCACTGACACCAATGATGGGGCACTATTCCTCCCACTGACACCAATGATGTGGCACTATTCCTCCCACTGACACCAGTGATGGAGCACTACTCCTCCCACTGACACCAAGTGATGGGGCACTACTCCTGCCACCCTACTCCCCCCACTGACACCAATGATGGGGCACTACTCCCCCCCCACTGACACCAATGATGGGGCACTACTCCCCCCACTGACACCAATGATGGGGCACTACTCCCCCCACTGACACCAATGATGGGGCACTACTCCTCCCCCACTGACACCAATGATGGGCACTATTCCTCCCACTGACACCAGTGATGGAGCACTACTCCTCCCACTGACACCAGTGATGGGGCACTACTCCCCCCACTGACACCAGTGATGGGGCACTACTCCCCCACTGACACCAATGATGGGGCACTACTCCCCCCCACTGACACCAATGATGGGGCACTACTCCCCCCACTGATGGGGCACACCCCCCCACTGACACCAATGATGGGGCACTATTCCTCCCACTGACACCAATGATGACTATTCCTCCCACCACCAATGATGGGGCACTATTCCTCCCACTGACTCAACGATGGGGCACGATTCCTCCCACTGACACCCACGGGGCACTATTCCTCCCACTGACACCAACGATGGGGCACTATTCCTCCCACTGATACCAACGATGGGGCACTATTTCTCCCACTGATACCAACGATGGGGCACTATTCCTCCCACTGATACCAACGATGGGGCACTATTCCTCCCACTGACACCAACGATGGGGCACTATTCCTCCCACTGACACCAACGATGGGGCACTATTCCTCCCACTGACACCAGTGATGGGGCACTATTCCTCCCACTGACACCAGTGATGGGGCACTATTCATCCCACTGACACCAGTGATGGGGCACTATTCATCCCACTGACACCAGTGATGGGGCACTATTCATCCCACTGACACCAGTGATGGGGCACTATTCATCCCACTGACACCAGTGATGGGGCACTATTCATCCCACTGACACCAGTGATGGGGCACTATTCATCCCACTGACATCAGTGATGGGGCACTATTCCTCCCACTGATACCAACGATGGGGGGCACTATTCACTATGCATCCCACTGATACCAACGATGGGGCACTATTCATCCCACTGACATCAGTGATGGGGCACTATTCCTCCCACTGATACCAACGATGGGGCACTATTCCTCCCACTGACACCAGTGATGGGGCACTATTCATCCCACTGACATCAGTGATGGGGCACTATTCCTCCCACTGATACCAACGATGGGGCACTATTCCTCCCACTGATACCAACAATGGGGCACTATTCATCCCACTGACATCAGTGATGGGGCACTACTCCTCCCACTGCAAAATTACAGTTATGAAGTAGCAATGAAAATAATTTTATGGTTGGGGGTCACCACAACATGAGGAACTGTATTAAGGGGTCGCGGCATTAGAAAGGTTGAGAACCACTTGGCAGTCTTGGCCTGAAATGCTCACCATGCATTGCAGTGGCTATTGAGCAGTGAAACAGTTGCAGAGCTTAAGGAAAGAGGAACAAAAGTGCTGCCAATGCAAAAGAACAAAACGGGACTCTGCTGCAATAAGCATTTTTATTATTTAAAGATGATCCCAAAATAATTTTTTTCTATTAACCATTTGCTGCCCGGCCTATAGACGTTTGGCAGCCGCAAAAATGCACTACCTTTCCGGGGTGTATGTCATTTGGCGTCCTCCCACACATGCGCAGTTCGCGCGCTTGCAGAGCCGCGCAGCGGCGTGATCTGTCACCGGCCATGTACCTCGGACACGGCCGATGACAGATCTGAGTACCGACCCCTGTTGTCGGTACCATGTGACCTGCTGTGACCAATCACAGCAGGTCACATGACAGTTGTATACAATGGATGGCTTCATTCATGCCATCCATTGTATACTAGTGTCTAGCTGTGGTCACAGCTAATCACATGCACATGTCATGTGATTAGCTGTGGCCAAATCACAGCTAAGCACAAAAAAAAAAAAAAAAAAAAAACCTGAATGATTCGATGTCATTCAGGTAAATGCTTGCTTATAGCAAAGTAATTCTTTGCTATAAGCAAATTGTGTAAAAAAAAATACTGATCACTTCCCCAAAGTAGTACAATGTTACTATGGTAACATTGTACTACTTTGGTCATAGTAAAATATGAAAAAAAAAAATCTTAAAAAAAATAAAAAAATGTAATAAAAAAATAAAAAAAATAAAAAAATATATATATATATTTGTTTTTCATACTGTCACCAGTCAGTGTCCCTGATCACCGCCATGCCAGTTATATGATGTACTGCACTGGTGACAATATGTGAAAAAAAAAAATAGTGAAAATAATTTTTTTAATTTTTTCATTTTCTGAAAAATTATGACAAAAAAAATACAACTTCAAAAAACTTGCCATGCCTCTTATGAAGTACGTCGGACTGTCTACTCTGCAAAAAGGGGTCATTTGGGGGATATCTGTACTGTCCTGACATTTGGGGGATATCTGTACTGTTCTGACATTTGGGGGATATCTGTACTATTCTGACATTCTTGGACCTCAAGAAATTAGATTGGCTGTCAGTACTTCAGGATTGATCAATTTTCAGATCTATACCATAGTTTGTGAACTCTATAACTTTCCTACATACTAAATAATACATCCTAATTTGGGTTATTTTCACCAAAGACATGTAGCAGAATACATCTTGGCCTAAATTTATGAAGAACAATTATTTATTTGTAATCTTTTATAACAGAAACAAAGAAAAAACGTGGTTTTTTTTCAAAATTTTTGGTCTTTTTTTTGTTAATTTAGCAAAAAATAAAAACCCCAGCGGTGATTAAATACCACCAAAAGAAAGCTCTAGTTGTGTGAAAATGATAAAATTTTAGTTTGGGTACAATGTTGTATGACCGCGCAATTGTCATTCAAAGTGTGAGAGCGCTGAAACGTGAAACATGGCCTGGGCAGGAAGGTGTAAAATTGCCCGTTATTGAATTGGTTAAAGGTCCCCGAGACTACCAAAACATTGCCCTTCTTGAAAGAATCCCTTAACCTCTTGCCGACCGCGCATAGCCGAATGACGGCTTCACCGCGGCCGGCCAGTTCTGGGTGGACGTCATATGACGTCCTCCCAGAACGTGCTCTCCTGCGCGCCCCAGGGGGCGCGCACCCGGCGATCTCCGTGATCGCTGTGTCCTACGGACACAGCTGATCACGTGATGTGGTAAAAGGCCAATCACAGCGGCCTTTTACCACGTGATCAGCGGTGTCCAATGACACGCTGATCACAGGGAAATGCAAGTGCCGGTTTTCGGCTGCACTTTCCTCACGCTGTCAGATCGTGAGGAAAGTACTGCCGAGAACCGGCAGTTGTCAGAGCGGGGATCGGCACCGATCATCAGGGCACTGATGATCGGTGCCCAGCAGTGACACCCGCAAGTTCCGCCCAGCAGTGCGCCCACTAGCTCCGCCCACCCGTGCCCAGCAGTGCACCCACCTGTGCCCAGCAGTGCCCCCACCTGTGCCCAGCAGTGCCCCCACCTGTGCCACTGCAGTGCCACCTACCTGTGCCCAGAAGTGCCACCTACATGTGCCCAGCAGTGCCACCCACCTGTGCCCACCAGTGCCACCCACCTGTGCCCACCCACCAGTGCTGCTCACCAGTGCCACCCACCAGTGCAGCCCAGCAGTGCTGCCAGTCAGTGCCACCAGTCAGTGCCCAGGGGTTGTGCCAGTCAGTGCCACCAGTGCCCAGCAGTGATGCCAGTCAGTGCCGTCTATCAGTACCCATAATCAGTGTCACCTATCAGTGCCGCCTATCAGTGCTGCATATTAGTGCCGCCTATCCGTGACCCCTAATTAGTGCTGTCTATCAGTGCCGCCTATCCGTGCCACCTCATTAGTGCTGCCTATCAGTGCCCTTTAGTGCTGCCTATCAGTGCCGCCTATCAGTGCCCATCAGTGCTGCCTCATCAACGCACATCAGTGAAGGAGAAAAAATACCTGTTTGAAAAATTTTATAAAACAAAGAAATAAACTTTTTTTTTTTTCAAATTTTTTGCACTTTTTTTATTTATAGCGCAAAAAGTAAAGTGCCCAGTGGCGATTAAATACCACCAAAAGAAAGCTCTATTTGTGAGAAAAAAGATGATCAAAATTTCATATGGGTACAATGTTGCATGACCGCGCAATTGTCAATCAAAGTGCGGCAGCGCTGAAAGCTGAAAATTGGCCTGGTAAGGAAGGGGGTATAAGTGCCTGGTAGGCAAGTGGTTAAGGACAGTAAGAGGAAGATGTCAGAATCAAAACACTGACAAGGACAGAAAAAAGGGTTTGGGTTATGGTTCAGATTTGATAGCTAATCAATACCATAGGGCTGCTGAGATGAAAACTCACGTTTTACCAAATGGCCTAATGGGCTAGAAAAAAAAAAAAGCTCTTCTGATGCTTATCCCTTGGAAAGAAATGAAGGCGATATCTCCCCAATGAGGGTATAAATGATGATTCCAAACCTTCGTCAGACCAACAGAAAATAGTATTCCTGTCTGTGTTTCTATTGGGGGTATTTCTCCTATCTTCTTGTTCTGTCTGACATCTGTCAAACAGACATGAATTGAGGAAACAAAATCCCCCAAACAGTGATACAACCAGAAACAAAATTGTAACCTTTTCTCAATCAACCTATAAAAAAAAAGGTTTTGGTCGGAATTGGGCTTTAAGTAGGCTCTAGGATGGGTTGATGATTAAGTCCAATAAGTTATGTCTTTTACTAGAACTCGTTCTTTTCTGCCCTCTGATGCTTAATTTCTATTTGTATGACTTCATACAATGAACATTTGCACTTACCCTACATAACCCAACTCTTTCCTGCCTAACTGTTCCCACTAAACTAAATTCACATATCCTGTTGTGGTTTCAAACCAAGTTATGTTGATATCTGAATCAAAGTATTCCTGACTTCCCAACACATGCATGCTTGTGAATACTGAAGTTTGCATAAATCACAATGATAGGATAACAAGCACATGTTCAGAGGTGTTGTTTGGGTATGAGCAGAGCTCTCTCTTTGTCTTTCTCAATCCAAGTTCAACAAATGGGGTAAATTACAGGACAATGTTCGTGATGATAGGGAGTTCTGCTGAACCCCCAAAATGTGTGGAGACAATGGGAACTCCAAAACACTACGCCACCGTTCTCCAAAATTCAAAAATGTGCAGCAAGACAGTCACAATAAAATCTTATGTTTGTGCTTAAGTAGCCAAGGAAGACAGATCATTTGACAAAAACAGAAATACAAGATGTCATAAAACCTTAAGTAGCCCAGGGTCTTCAAATGATCTCTGAGGCCCTGGTGTAAATGGTCACATTATTAATGGCCTGGTGTGCAGTTTTAGGAATACAAATCTGTGAAGGCTGGAGTATTAACCTTTGCTGATATTTAGCTGAACTCCCGATAGTGAAACTTTCCACATATTTCACGATTCTCACTTCAGCCTTTCTCAACTAGGGATCCTTCAGCGGTTGCTAGGGGGCTTCTTGAGACATGAGAAATGAGACATTTCTGCCTCTCATATAAATAACCATTTAAAACGTTGGTCATTTTAGTTATCTACAAGATGAACATTCTTCCACCTGACCACCAGTATAAGGAGGCCCTTCCCCCAAAGATCTACAATGTAAGATGGTCTTTACCCCTTCCATGGTTTAGCAATGAGCAATTTAAGGGAACACTACCATTTTCACGGTCTACATTTCTTTTCTGGCCATTTTTTTTTTGTTTCCTTTCATTATTATTATTAATGAAACTATTTTTGTAGTATACATCAGCCCTGGCTTAAATAGTTTGAGTATGTCACATTCATATTTGTTTATTTAGTATAGGTACTTATATAGCGCCATCAATTTATGCAGCGCTTTACATATATATTGTACATTCACATCAGTCCCCGCCCTGAGGAGCGTACAATCTAAGGTCCCTAACTCACATTCATACATACACATACTAGGGCCAATTTAGACAGGAGCCAATTAGCTTACCAGCATGTCTTTGGAGTGTGGGAGCAAGCCAGACTCCCCGGAGGAAACCCACGCAGGCACAGGGAAAACATGCAAACTCCAGGCAGGTGGTGCCATGGTTGGGATTTGAACGAATGACAGTAGTACTGCCAGGTGGAAGTGCTAACCATTTAGCCACTGTGCTGCCCCATATTTGTTCATTCCAATATTCCCCAAATTGTGTTATTAATATTAGCAGGGATTCCCTGAGACTCTAATATTGTTACAAGGGTTCCTTTATCTTCAAAGGGTTGAGAAAGTCTGTTCTACTATCCTAATGGAGTTACCCTCCTAAAGAGTAGCGATGTTAACAAAGAAGAAGACACCACTCCGACGCCAAACACTACTATAATACAAGGTCCATAAGAGGCTAAGAAGACAAATATACATCATACACATATATCATCTTTGATATCCAACAATTGCTAGTCGCTCTGCTAAATGATATGCTGGTTTTCAGATTGTCCTACAAACATAGTCTTACTTAGGATAGTGGGCATTAGGCATCTGCCCAACACACCTACAACCCTTCAGACCTTTTAATTTGGTAGGGTTAGTTCTACAACATCCTGTCTGGGATACAAGAAACGTTTTCTTCATCAGCAGCTTGCAGCTCTCATTTTATCATTGGAACTACTGAGAAACGCTAAGAGTAATTTATGAGTGCCAGTGACTCTTGCAACATTAAAGTGATTGTAAAAGAAAAAAAATTATTATTTTAAAAATAACAAACATGTTATAATTACCTGCTCTGGTTTTGTACAGAGCAGCCTTGATCTCCTCCTCTTCTGGGATCCCCTGCTGGCTTCTTCCCCCCATAAGTGCCCCCATAGCAAGGCAAGCCACTTGCTTTGGGGGTACTTGTGCGTGCTTGCTCTAGAACCAGCTCTATGTGTCCATAAGACACATAGACCCGTCGTGACAGTTAGCGGAGATCTTGTCATCCCCGCCGTCACAATTTAAAAAAAAAAATGCGGTCCTGCGCCCACGTCACTCCAGTATTTCTGTATGCTAGAATTCTGTGAATAGGAAAACTACAAGTTCTGACAGCCTTTGTGGCTGTTGACTGTAAATTTGGCAGAGCACAGTCAACTCTTCCACTTTTCTCACCTAGGCAGAGATGATCGCCTCATCCTCCCCACCGTCTGAAGCCTTCTAAGATACCCAACACGGTATGGGGACACTGTATGGGGACACCTGATGTAGGGGACACCTGATGGATGGAGGCACTAATGTATGGTGACACCTAATGGATAGAGACACTGATGGATTGGGACACTGATGTAGGGGGACACCTGATGTATGGGGACACTATATAAGGACACCTGATGTATGGGGACACTGATGTAGGGGGACACCTGATGGATGGGGACACTGATGTAGGGGGATATTGATGTATGGGGACACCTGATATAAGGAGACACTGATGTGGGGGGACACCTGATGTATGTGGACACTGATGTAGGGAGGCACCTGATATAGGGGGACACTGATGTAGGGGGACGCCTGATGCATGGGGACACTGATGTAGGGGGACACCTCTAGATAAGCTATTGTAGTTTAAAATCTGGTACATTCCTGTCTGCGTGTGGCAGCAAGTGATGCAGACATTTTTGAAGGTCAGAATCAAAAGAGCATATGCCATGAAAGGTGAATGTGTCCAGTAAAACAGGTGGTGGTAGCCACCATGTGTACATAAATGGTCAACTACTTAGTTAGCCTGTCCCAGTGACATTACTTAAAGTCTGCTGCAAAATCTCTGCATATGGTGATCTAAGGCTGAGTATCTACTTTGAAATGTTGACCTTGTATGTGACTATAAAAGATCAATGATCACTCCTAGTGCAACTCAATCCAGCAATATCTACAGAGGACCAGCAATGCCTAAGGAATGTCTTGGGTTCTTCTCTCACTGTTTCTCACCCACTGGCCTGTAACATAATCCGCCATCTCCACTCCTACATGTGCACTTCCAGTTGCAAGTCGAAGTACCAAGGGTACATGGAGCACTCTTCTAGAGCAGCAATTTTTTTTTTAGGCTTTCATGGCATCCCCTGTGCACCAAGCAGTTGTGTCCCAGACAGAGTCCAGTCCCTTTGCAACTAGCTGGAACTGAACAGTCTGATGTACATAGGAATATCTAGGTAACCATTGCTGTATTTGCTAGATGTTGCTGGTATTCCGGGAAAGTCCATTTTAATTATCCTATCATTTGTTTCTCCTACGAAATCTCCCTTGAAACCCTACCATTACTATGCCTAGTTTTCACCTGGGATACAGCGCATCTAAACTATATCCATTTGGTGCTCAATGACAGCAGTGTGCACAGTATGCATCTCTATGAATATAGGCTGAAGTAGAAAGAGCTCATTAGGCCATTTATAGGTATTTACAAAAGCTGACTTTAAATTTGAGTGTCAGCAAACTACGCATTTCAGACTTTCCAGTCCATAGTCAACACCTAACATGATGACTGAGGACTAGAGAAAATGAAATGCATAATCACGTTGTGGTGATTACTCTCTATATAGTACCCTAGGTACCCTGATGAAGTCACGACGCACGTGACGCAACGCGTCGGTTTGTCTACTTCCTGGTGACGTATGTCCGGACACAGTGGCCATATTGGATTCCCCCAGGTGCATGCATATCTACCCACAGGCTGGGAAAACGCTTGTTTATGGAAAGGAGCATGTGAGTGGTTTACTTTGTCACTTTTTACTTTGCCCATTAAAACTTACTACACTATGGAAGGCTTTCTTATCTTTTTATGAGTTGCATAAGAGAGGAGGAGGATTAAGGAGTCTGCCAGAGGAATACACCACTGAGGTGGTAACTGCTTTGAGGCCCTGTGTGGGTCGAGGAAGGGAGGTGAGCAGGCATTGCTGCCATTTGAAGGAGAGTACTTGCACTTAGAAGTGGAGATCACGTGTGTGTTCCAGCTTAAAGCACAGTCACATGCATGGAATATTTTTTCACCTTTGATATTGTCTTTTTCACTTATGGCATATATTAGTTATGTTTGATTTAGACACCATTGTATGTGGCCAATTATTCTGTTTTCATGTATATATACTTTGTTTAGTATATCTGATTTATGCACTATTTATTTAGGTTCTTAATGTGTGATATTTAGCCATTATAGTCATTTCGGTTGACATTATTTTTTCTATCCACTAGAGGGAGTTCACATATTTTTAATATATATCGTGGTCACTTTGATTTATTATTATACTTTATGGAGACACATGATTGTATTCATGAGATACAAGCGCTTCACTAATTTTATGTTTATCTCTATATAGTACATATTGATCAGAGTAACTGGCACCTTGGAAATTTTAACAAGACTGTGCATGGATGTGCTACGAACAGTGGATCAAAAGTCTTTATTAAGGTAAGGACTGGTAGGTGCTGTATGTCTCTTTAACAACTTGCCCTCCAGAGGATTTCCCCCCCTTCCTGACCGGGCCATTTTTTGTGATACGGCACTGCGTTACTTTAAAACTGACAATTATGCGGTCATGCAACGCTGCACCCGAATGAATGTTATGTTCTTTTTTTTCCCACAAATAGAGTTTTCTTTCAGTGGTATTTGATCGCCTGTGCGGTTTTATTTTTTTGCGCTATAAACAAAAAAAGACAAACAATTTTGAGAAAAAAAAATATTTTTGACTTTTTGCAATTAAACATGTCCAGTAAAAAAAAAAAAAATTTAGTCATAAATTTAGGCCAAAATGTATTCTGCTCCATGTCTTTGCTAAAAAAAAAAATCCCAAAACATGTAAATTAAGTGGTTTACGTGAAAGTTATAGCGTCTACAATTGGCGGTATATATACTGGAATTTTTTTCCTTTTTTACTAGTATGGCGGTGATCAGCAACTTATAGTGGAACTGCGGCGGGCATTCTGACACTGAGGGGAACTGACTTGGTGTCACTGACATCCCCAGTGACACCAATACAGTGATCAGTGCTAATAAACAGCACTGACACTGTACTAATGGCACTGGGCAGGAAGGGGTTAACATGTGTGGGGGATCAAAGGGTTAACTGTGTGCATTTTACTATGTGCTGTGCTTTACTATGTAACCACTCTGCTTTCTATGGCTGTATGCTGTTTTACTATGAGGTTTTGTGCTGTATTTCATTGTAAGCACACTGCTTTGTATGGCTGTGCTATGCAGAGCCACACAAAGCAGTGTGCAGGAGCTGACAGGAGAGAGATCTGTGTTGTTTATACACAGGTCTCTCCCTCATGTCGGAGATACTCGGCGATCACCGGATGCTGACGAGAAAACACCAGCCAGGACTCGGTGATTGACAGCCGAGGCCGCGAATGGTGGCGTGGGTAGGGCACGTGTGCCCCTCTACCCGTAACTGCGAAATCACGTATCTATACGTGATTTTGCACACCCGTGCTGCCCTGTAGCAGTATTTCTGCGTGGAAGCTGTATATATGGACAATACTACATTACAACATTTACAAACAAGTATAATTCCAGTTTTTTTAAAATGACTTATTATTATTGTTAAATTAATGTTAACTGACTCATTTACTGGCTGTAAAAAAAAAAAACAACAAAAAACAACAGGGATAGGAAGATTGCCTAGTAAGCCTAGAGCTACCTAAGTAATGCATCTCAACAAAGATAAAAAGGTGCAATACAAGATTTTTGCTTGAGGTGGCTGTAATTATACATCTTCGTGGAGAACTACAGAAAAAGCAAGGGGGTGCGGAGTCTGAGGATTTCTCTCTGTGGTGTGCTGTTGTCATGGTTGCAAGCAAACAGTAAACATTTTTTGGGAAGCTGAATAAAATCACAGCTGACTACGGATTGAAACAGAAAATTTAATCATAGCAACAGGAATATTCAGTATGGCCAGGATACCTGCTGGTGGCACTGCTTCCCTGCTATGTTCCATCTACTCAATTACCGTTCTCACCTGTCCCACCATTTGTATAGAGTTAGCAGCTAAATCTGGAACATTCTGTATTGCGTATGTTTTTTTAACCACTTGCCCTCCAGAGGATTTACCACCCCCCCCCCTCCTAATCAGGCCATTTTTTGCGATATGGCACTGTGTTACTTTGACAATTGCACGGTCATGCAGCACTGCACCCAAATGAAATTTATGTCTTTTTTTGTCCCAACAAATGAAGCTTTCTTTCGGTGGTATTTAGTCACCTGTGCATTTTAAATTTTTTTGCACTATAAACAAAAAAAGACCGACAATTTTGAGAAAAAAATACAATATTTTTTGACTTTTTGCTATTAAACATGTCCAGTAAAAAAAAAAAAAAAAAAATTTTCGTTATAAATTTAGGCCAAAATTTATTCTGCTCCATGTCTTTGCTAAAAAAAAAAAAAAATCACAATACTTGTAAATTAATCGGTTTATGTGAAAGTTCTAGTGCTTACAAATGGCAGTATATATATTGGGATTTTTTTATACTAGTAATGGCGGCGATCAGCGACTTATAGCGGGACTGCGGCGGGCATTCTGACACTGGGGGGAACTGACTGCCACTGACACCAATACAGTGATCAGTGCTAATAAAGAGCACTGACACTGTACTAATGGCACTGCACAGGAAGAGATTAATTTGAGGGGCAATCAAAGGGTTAACTGTGTGCTGTTTTACTAAGTGCTATGTCCGTGTGCTTCACTGTAAGCACACTGCTTTGGATGGCTGATTTGTTTGCAATTAAAGGATTCGTTTTCAATAAAATAAAATACTATAGTTACTACTACTGAAGTACCAAAAGGTTTTGGTACAAACCTCCAGTAGCCTCGCATTCTATGTTGGCCAACTTTAGTGGTCAACAGAAATGTGTAGGAAGGGGCCAGCAAGTTTGGACTATCAAGAAGTACCAAAAGCTTTGCTTGCAGAACATCAGATTTGGCTCTGAGGAGAACTGGGGGCTACTACAGTTTTTTGCAGACCCCTGCACCCAATAGTAAGCCTACACTTTGAGTATCATTATAAAGAACAAAAACAGTTTTGAGGCAATTTGCAAAAAAAATGATGTATGGGGAACATCTTTACGTCAGGAGGAAAATAAATTTATCTCCAAACAAGGAAAAGTTTCTTCACAGTGAGAGCTGAGAAAAATGTGGAATAGACTCCCTCAAGAGTTGGTTCTGGCTAGCTCAGTGGATTGCTTCAAAAAAGGCCTGGATTCTTTCTTAGATACACAGAATATAACTGGATACTAACATTTATAGGGAAAATTGATCCAGGGAATATCCGATTGCCTCTCGGGGGATCAGGAAGGAATTATTTTTTCCCTGCAGGAGCAAATTGGATCATGCTTTGCTGGGGGGGTTTTGCCTTCTTCTGGATCAACTGTGGGTGTAGGATTATAACTTTTTTTTTAATGGTTGAACTGGATGGACTTTTGTCTTTTACATTATGTTTTCTACAAAAAGTTTCCAATATTTTTTATGGATGTCAGAAATTTCACTTTCATTATTTATTGGTGAACTGGCCTTGAAATAAAGAGCAACGTGCTTTTTTTAAAAAACATTTTTTTACATTACAGGGACGTGAGGGTAGCACAGTGGCTAAATGGTTAGCACTTCCGCCTGGCAGCACTAGGGTCATTGGTTCGAACCCAAACCCCAGCACCTCCTGCCTGGATTTTGCATGTTCTCCCTGTGCAGGTTTCCTCCCATACTCCAAAGACATGCTGGGAGGTTAATTAGCTCCTGTCTAAATTGGCCCTAGTATGTGTATGTATGAATGAGAGGTAGGGATCTTAGATTGTACGCCCCTTGAGGGTTATGGACTGATGTGAATGTACAATATACAGTTGTGTTCAAAATAATAACAGTCAGATATGACTAACCTGATCAATCACTGTTTTTGGTAGAATTGATATTTCTACGTGGCGAATAATTTACTAGCAGGTGTAGTAGAGTAATAGAAATCCAACAGACCCAACAGTCATGACATGCATGCTGCTGATTCTGTGTAATTGAATCACTAATTGAAAATGGACATGTTCAAAATAATAGCAGTGTGGAGTTCTATTTAGTGATGTCATTCATTGTTTGAAAAACAGGTGGCAATTATTGCCCTTATTTAAGGAAGGAAGGCAGAAAATGTTGTACATGCTGGTTACAGTGCATTTCTCTCTGAAATTCTGAGGAAAATGGGTCGTTCCAGACATTGTTCAGAAGAACAGCGTACCTTGATTAAAAAGTTGATTGGAGAGGGGAAAACATATAAAGAAGTGCAGAAAATGATAGGCTGCTCAGCTAAAATAATCGCAAATGCTTTAAGATGGCAACCAAAACCTTAAAGACGTGGAAGAAAGCGAAAAACTACCATTTGAATGGATAGAATAGCCAAAATGGCAAGGACTCAGCCAAAAATCAGCTCCAGGAAGATGAAAGAAGGTGTAAAGTTCCCTGTGAGGACTGTTACAATTAGAAGACGCCTATGTGAAGCCAAGCTATCTGCAAGAAGCCCCCGCAAAGTCCCACTGTTGAAAAAAAGACATGTGCTGAAGAGCTTACAATTTGCCAAAGAGCACAGAGAGAAATGGCGCAACATTTTGTGGACTGATGAAAGTAAGATTGTTCTTTTTGGGTCTAGTGGGCGGAGACAGTTTGTCAGACGACCCCCAAACACTGAATTCAAGCCACAGTACATTGTGAAGACAGTGAAGCATGGTGGTGCAAGCATCATGATATGGGGATGTTTCTCATACTACAGTGTTGGGCCCATTTATCGCATACCAGGGATCATGGATCAGTTTGAATACATCAGAATACTTGAAGAGGTCATGCTGCCTTATGCTGAAGAGGAAATGCCCTTGAAATGGGTGTTCCAACAAGACAACGACCCCAAACACACCAGTAAACGTGCAACATCTTGGTTCCAGACCAACAAGATTGACGTTATGGAGTGGCCAGCCCAATCCCCGGATCTTAATCTAATAGAAAACTTGGGGGGTGACATCAAAAATGCCGTTTCTGAGGCAAAACCAAGAAACAGAGAAGAACTGTGGAATGTAGTCCAATCATCCTGGGCTGGAATACCTGATCACAGGGGCCAGAAGTTGGTTGACTCCATGCAACACAGATGTACAGCAGTTCTCAGAAACAGTGCGACTACAACCAAATATTCATTAAGTGATTCAAAGGAAAGCAAAATCTTCAAACATTTTTCAGTTTATATAGTGAATGTTTGAGTTTGTAAAGAAGAATAGAAACACTGCGATTTTTTTTAGACAGTCTAATATTCACTTTTCTTCAATTTTTTTAGAGGAACAACATTATTTGATATATCTTTCTTCATGTTTTTGATTTGGAATAGAATGTGTCGTGTTCCCAATGCATTTGTGTGTATGGAAATAAAAGCTAATAAAAGGATTTTGAGCTTTATTCACTTTTTTCAACACACTGCTATTATTTTGAACACAACTGTATATGGAAAGCACTGCATAAAATTGGCAGCACTATACAAGTACCTGTAATAAATAAATGAGGGTAAAGCGGGGACAAGAGGTGGGTAGGTTGTTTAAGCATGAAAAGCCCTCATGTAAATTCTCCTAGTTTCTGGATCCAGCCTGACCTGGGAGAGTCTTTAGTAGGGGACAAAGTTAACACATAGTTTGGGAGACAAGTAAAACCTCTGGGGGTTTGTTTGAATCCATAATACCAAATATATAATGCCGGCTCTTTACCATGTAATAAAGTAATTAACATTTCTGTCTTGTCAAGTTTCTGTAACCATAATTTCAAATAACACTGCAACAGTATTACAGGGTTATAGAAATGAACCCCTCTGGAGTGTAACATGGATGGTTAGGTGGATATACAAATGTGTAATCCTAAATGGAATTATTCCCAAAAATGAAGCATTTCACACAAAGGTATATGTTCTGGCCAGAGTTTAACAGGAGCATTATAATATTTTAATTCAGACATCCTGAAGAGTCTCAACGCATAGGTTAGTTACAGTTGGAAGTGTCACAACATCTAGTTTTCTACTGAAACGAAAAAGGAAGTTCACTGTGCAAAGTTTGCTCTAGTTGTACAGTAGTCATCTATTTTCTCTGCTACCCAGACTTAAGGTTCAAGATAACCAAAAAAGTAGATAATTGATAAAAGGTACTGATCTTGCCCATGAAGTTCAAACATCCAGAATCCAAGGAGAGTGTAAAGGTGGCCCTACACAAGTAGAATTATTTTTCCATTTTACTTTCGGAACATTTGTTTTATTTTTCTCATGGTTAGTACAGTCAAATCAACGTTCCTTTTCAACCATAGTAAGAAGAACATGTGTT